AATAACTCCTCTCCCTAGGAATTAGGGAGGATATATATTTCCAATCCCTCCCCCAAAGAGTGCATACACACACACACACACACACACACACACACACACACACACTTCTTAAGGCTGCTTAACATGACAAGGTGGAAGTCTTCACTGGCCAAAATCAACTTACAGATGTGTTTGGACTTACTAGCACAGATACTTTTAAATAATTGGTATAGCTGTCTTTAGAGGAAGCGTTCTCACTGGCTTATCAAAGTCCTATTATACACCCAGGCTGTGCTGATCATTTCTGTATTGCCCCTCAGCCCCACCGTTCTCTTTCTGCTGATACGGACCCCAATTCATTTTAGATTGGGAATGCTGTTAGCTTCTGAATGTTGAGGCTTCAATGCCAGGGACCCTGGATGCTTAGGGTGTGAAGGCAGGTCAGGGATGAAATTAAATGTCAGGATTCAGTTCTGCTGCATCCTCTCCACTCATCTCCAGGTGTTCTGAGACGGCTGTGGACCCTCCCATGGAATCCCATTCCTTCCTAGAATCTTCCCTAATGATGCCTAGAATCTTCCGTGATGATGCCCCTCCAGTTCCATTCTCCTGTAAAGACTATGCATGCTCTGATGGGACCACAAGTCACCTTGTAAAGCACAAAGCTAAGTGTATGCACAGCACTCAGGACACATCTGGATCCAAGACCATGTCCAGTTCCAAGACAGTATCTCTAAAGGACTCCAAAACAGCGTCCAGAGCTAAAACTATGGTAATGGTCAAACCAGGATCAGAGAGCATACATGAAGCTAAACCAGGGCTTTTTTTTTACCTGTGGCTGCAGCTTATCTGGGGCTTGCACAGGGGCTGTGAGTGAACCCTGGCCTAAATCTGTTAGCTGTAGTTGAACCAGCACCTGCACTTGTCTCCCTGCCCATGCTCAGCTGAACCAGAGCCCAAATCCAAGACAGTGTCTTGATCTCAGTCAGAAATTGCCTCAGTGGCCAAGCTGGGGCTCAAGGTGGTGCCAGTGACTGAGCCAAGCTCAGAGGCTGTGGCAGTGGAGAAACCAGAACTTGAAACTGTGTTTGGGTCCAAAATGATACCTGTGCAAATCAGAGATAGCAACTGTCTCTAATGGGCAGGGGTCCATCACAAGGGGTAACTTTTGGGCCTCTGGGTTACCATACATCTACACTTTTGATGGCTACTCTTTCCCCATGCCTTGGGGCTGCACCCTCAGACCCTAACCAGTGGCCTCCCTGCCTTCCAACTGTGGGTTGCCTACTCTGGAGGGAGACAGCCCATGCTTTGTCACAGGCACATCTTTGGCATTACCATCACTACAGTCAAACATGAGTTCTGCTTTGTTCTGGTAAGAATCATACTGTATGGAATCCTGGGAAGCCCTATCCTTCTCTGTCCCACAGTTTTGTCATCTCAGAAATGGAGGCAATTATGCAGGTCCACCGTCCTTTATCTAAAATGACTGGGGCCAAGTGCATTTCAGATTTTGGAATTTCAAATGGTCATATCATGCAAATGCCACGTATTTTATATCATACTCCTAGTGGGTGTTAAAAATAACAAATATTAATATCTCTGCAGTGACATGTCTGAATATTCATACCGAGTGGAATAAGTTAAGACAGTAAGCAGCCACTCATAAGTTCAGGTCAGCTTTCGCTGCCAAGTTAGTTTTAACATCAAACACACAAAACATCTTTCTGTCTTCAGACCAGTTTTGCATTGGGGGATTGTAGTTAAGGGATTATGGATCTCTAGCACCCACCTCGTCAGGTCGCTGTAAGGTGGGAATGAGTTAATATATGAAAAGCACTTGGAACAGAGTCCATTTCATGGTAAGTGCCATGTGAGGGATGTTTGCTATGTTTATTGCCCCCTAACACTGGCATCTGGAGCCTCCAAATTCTCTGAGCTTTGGACATATCCTCGGACCATATGCAGTCACGGGTATGTCCCACATTTTTCTTCAGGGAAGATTTAGGGACAGTGCTCTGGATGGAAGGTTGTGGGGGCTAGACTATATTTAATCAGAGTTGCTAGAGGGGGAAAACTCATGGAGGTTACGGATGTAGCAAAGCCACATTTCAGCACTATAGAAGGACAACAGACTCTGGACCCATATGGCATGGGTGCAATCCCAACTTGACTACTTGTTATTTGTATGACTTTAGGCAGATGATTTAACCTCTCTGAGCCTCCGTTTCTTCATCTGTGAAATCAGAATGATGTAAAGACCTACTCCATAGGGCTGTATTGAGGACAAAAATGAGAATACATGGAAAGCTCAGAAAGTGTATGATTCTGACTTGCTGTGGGAGCCCATGATGGTCCATACTCCCCTCCACACCCCTTGAGAGCTCGCCCTGACACTCAGGAGTCAGGATTTCCCCCAAGTGCTCTAGTGGTTCCTCAGCATCCTTCAGCCTCCACTCCAGGTCTCCAGCATCCTCAAATTCTCAGGGCTCCAGATTTTTACTCTCACCACATGGGCCCCCATCTCCCAGGGACCTGACACTCCTGAGTTCCCTCATTAATTGAGGAATATTTTTAATTATTGTGTATCAGACCTTGTTCAAGAAACGGAAGGCACATCAGCAACCAAGGCAGACAAAATCCTTGTTCTTCCAGTGCTTATATTCTAGCGGCGAGAGATAAGCCACACATTTAAGTTAATTTTATAGTATGTTAGAAGATGATACGTGCTAAAGAGAAAAAATAGAGCAAGGAAAGTGGGATCAGGATTTCTGAGAGTACAGTTTTAAATAGGAGGGCCTCGCTGAGAAGATGAAACTTAAGCCAAGTCTTAAAGGAAGTGAGGGAGAGGGCCGTGTGGGTATCTGAGAAAAGAGCATTCCAGGCAGAGGGAACAGCAAGTGCCTAAAGTGAAAATCTGCCAGGGACATTACAGGAACAGCAAGAAGTCCAGGCTGAAGTGGAGGGATCATGGTGCCGAGAAAAGGGAGAGATCATGGGGGTCAGATTGTGTATGGCCATGTGGGCTCTCACAGCAACTTTAGCTTTTATTCTTTGTGAGGTGGGAGCCAAGGAAAGATTTTGTGCAGGGGAGGGATGAACTATCACTTGCATGTGAATAAGGTCCTTGTGGCTGCCATGTGGGGAACAGACTCTGGAGCTTGTGAAGGAAGTGCTGGGAGAACAGTGAGGAGGTTTGCTGCAGTAGTCCTGGCAGGAGATGATGGGGGTCGGGCCAGGATGGAGGCAGTGAGGGAGACTAAAAGGTGGGTTGGAAACCTTCTGGGGGATAGAGGATAAAAAAGGAAATCATGGATTGGAAGAAGGGAGATACTCTCTGATTTGGAAGCTCTTAGCAGAGGCTCTTGGTAATTGTGGGAAAGACATTTGAGTTCTGGCTGAAGGCTCTCCTATGAACTGGAGGAAGTGGGCAGTCGTAGCTCCTTAGTGAAAATAACTTATCTGGATTCCTCAGAGAAAGACTTTTGAGTTTTGTGTGAGGACACATCTGGGTGTGGAAACAAGACTCTTGGTTAGTGGCTGAGGATGAGACCTTGAAGCCCCCACTCAATCAGTACCCCAACATTCAACCCCCTCAGCTTCCAACCCTCACCCCTCCTCAAATGCTTAGGAATGCAGCCTTTCTGGTGACTCTGGCTCTTAGGTCGCCCTGCCCAGCAGTGGCTGTGGCAGCCAGTGACCCTGAGTGATGGGCAGCTATGGTTGTACCCTCGCAGCTCCAAATTATGAGCAGAGGCAGATCTGGAACAAGAGCCACCCAAACTGTGCCTCGTCGCCGACTGGCAGCACGTGTGGTCTCTGCAAATGACCAGCAGCTAACGTGCACAAATGGCAGGCCTGTGTGGGAACTTCAACTGGGAAACTCCCGAAGATGTGGGAGGTCCCAAGCCTCGCGTTTTCTTGTGCAGTTGGGCCCTGCAGCCACCTGCTACCCCATGCCACACCCTCTGGGCTGCTTCCTGTGCCCAGCCTGCACCCCAAACAGAGACCCCAGGGCCCTGTGCTGTCCTAGGAGCTCTGAACAGGTCATCAGGCCACTGCGATTATCTGCTGCAGCCTACACTCTTTGTGTCCAGCTGCAGTGCTTGGATCTGTCGATCTATCTCTTCCCCAACTACCAACTTGGGCTTTGTGTGGCCCTCCAGGTCTATATGCCTGCTTGTCAGCACCTGGGTATCAGCGTCCATCCCTGGAAATTCCCAGCTGGTTGCCTTGAGTGAGCCTTAGAAGTAAAGGGCTATGGGCTGCTGGTGAAAGGGACTCTGGAAACTAGAGGGGACATTCCTTGATACTAGAGTTGATTCCTGGGGCAAAGCTCAGGGTCCCTGGGGTGGGATGGCCTCGGGCCTTAGGGATGGGACTGCTGAGGCTCTGGAGCCAGGGCTTCTTGGGTCTGAGGATGGAGGCTCCTCCACCCTAGGGGTGGGGCTTCTGGGTTCTGAGGACTGGAACACCTGGGTCTTGGAGTTGGAGTCTGTGGGTCCTGAAAGTGAAGACATAGTTTCTGGGGTCCGGAATTACGCAGTTCTAAAAGGCAAGATTCCTAGATTTGGTGGATGGAAAAGTCCTCTAGGCAGTGAAGACTCCAGGGTCTGCAGTGAGAGTTTCATGTCCCATGGCCTGACTTTTATGTTCTGGAGAAGGGACTTCCGGTTTCTGAGGACAGAAACTTTACTATGTGAGGTGAGGATTGCTGGGGCTGCAAAGCCTCCACTCTAGGGGGCACCAAGCTGCCTGAGGATGCATTGGCCTGGGCCTTTGGCCGTAGTTTCTTGGTGGGTTCCCGCGCTGGGTACCTGGATGCTGCTGGCAAGATGCTGCCACTGCTACCATCCTCTGTCACCCTGCCAACCACCAGCACCCCAGCCCACTTTGTCTACATATGTGACATCCTCTTGGCCACACTGGGGCCCTTCTGACTGTGCTGTAAACTGCTTGCCCCAAACCCCTCTGTCCAAGATTGCATGGTGGATATATGCCTGGGCACTGTAACCTGCTAGATGCTAAGTGTCTACCGTGAAACTTGCCAGCTGCTGGGCAGCCAGGTCTTCCCCTGGCAGAAATTGAGCCTGTGCAGTGAGTGTCCAGGGCTTCGGTCCAGCCTCTCCTCTCTGACCCACTCCTGACCCCAGTTCAGCTCCTTGTTGCCCATCTTAGGGTGCTAGTCTCCCCACCTCCCACCCGCCACACACAATTTAGTCCTTGAGACCCATACTTCCCACGGTGCCAGCCTCCAACCACTTCTCCACTCCCTGTCATGGTCGGGGACCTCATACTTTGCCCGTCCAAAATTGTCAGCCCAACTCAGACGAAAGTCCTTCCCCTGGCTCTTATCCTTCCTACTTCTTAGCCCTGATTATGGTCCAGCCCTTCAACCCTTACCTCTTCAGAAACTCAGACCTGTTCATGGTCCAGCCCCCAAACCCTTACCCATCCCAAACCCTTAGGGATTAACTGTGCTTCTGATTCATGGTTGGCTACCTGGTCTTTCTTTACCCATTGCAAAGTTAGCTTCAGCTCTGCCCAAGTCAAGCTTTCCATCCCTTACCCTTGCAAGGCCTCAGATGCCACAGCCCAGCCCCAGAGGTGAGGGTGAGACTCCAGCAGCCACTTGCCATCAAGTAACCCTCCATTCCTACTCCTCGCAGGCTTGCTTTGCCGCACACACTCACACTACACACTGTGTGCTCGGAGCTGCCCAGACACTATCGCAGGACAGGAGCGGCCACCCGGCCGCGAGGATCGCGGGCGCTGCCTCCAGGGCTGCGAGGGCTGCGTGTGCGAAGCGGGCTTCGTGCTGAGCTGCGCCGGCGCCGCTGCCCGCCCTTCACTCCGCACACAGCCGCTGCTGCCGCTGCCACCTGGCGGCCAGATGGCCTGCAAACCGTGCCGAGCAGGATGGGTGGCCCTGATCTCTGCCTCGCCCCAGGCAGGCTCCATTACCGCACTTTCGAGGGCACCACCTTCCACCTCCCCAACGCCTGCACCTATTCATTGGTGGGCATACAGAAATGTTGCCTTTGGGTACGTGGCCCTTCAAGGTAGTGCTGGAAAATGGCTCATGGATGCCTGAAATCCACCGCGTGCTGCTCCACCGCTTCCTCCTGGACCAGGGATGTGTCAAGGTGAGATCCCGCCCCCTCCTTTGCCTCCTTTCAGCTGCCATCCAGTCTCTTACTGATGGTCCAATCTCTGCCTACCCCCCACTGAGGCCTTCCTCCCCCCATCACCCTCATTTCCACTCTCTTTTCCTTCTTCCTTCTCTATTCTCCACCTCCTCCTCCCTCTCTTCCTTCCCCTTCACCTTTCAGCCCCCTCCCAATAGCTGGGTCCACATGTCCCTTCTCCATACTGCCCAGGCTCTCTGTCTCTCCCACTTCCCTCCCCCACTTCTCTTCACCCCAGTATGCCCACCCCACCTGTCTCTCCCACCCCCCACATCTTCATCTCCAGGTCTCTTTTCCTCTGCCTGGGTCTCCGGGTGCCCTCCATGCTCCATGATTACCGTTACCTCTTCCCCAACTCCCACCTGGCATCCCCAACCCCAGTCCCTGCTTGCCCACCTTCCTTCCCTGCATGCCCCTCTCTCACCTCTGCCCTTCCTCCTGCCTCGCATCCTCTCCCCTCCTCCTGTCCCAACATCTCCTCCCACCTCTTCCCTGGCTCTCCAACCCTCCATTGCCGCCTCCTGATCCCCCAGGTCCACAGATGCCCTCTAGGTCTCTCCTTTGTCTCCAAATAGGAATACTCCTTCTCACCTTACACCCCCGTGCCCACCCCACCACTCGCCTCACCTCATTTTCCTTCCCCTCTCCTAACCTCCACACACCTCCTCCCACACCTTTCCTGGTCTTCTTCCTACTCTTCAGTACCCACTCCCAAGTGCTGCCGTGATTGCCCCTTCCGCCTTGACTCCCTCTCCCCCTTTACTTCACCCCCACATCCCTCCTCTCCCTCTTCCCCTCCCTCTCCACTCTCCCCCTGTTCCAGCACACCACCTCTCTTAGCCTCCGCACTCACTCCCCACACCACTGCCAACCCCTCTTCTCCTTGATTCTCCCCAGTGCCTGACCCCCACCACTGACCTTCGGCTGCCTGTCCTTGCGCTGACAGGGGCGGTTGCACAGCCTCTGTGGCGACTTCAACAGATAACCTGCAGCAGCCGAGGCCTAGGCCTGCACTGCATCCCTGCCCAGATGCCAGCTGTCCAGCAGCCACTGAGGACAAGGGCCCAGACACAGCACCTGTGGCCTCCCGTGTGAGCCCAGCGGCCTGCTGGCGCCCTGCCACGCATGCCTGCTGCTGGAGCCCATCTTCCAGACCTCTGTGGTCAAAATGGGCTGTGCCCTCAGGAACCACAAAGTGCTCTGTGGCCTGCCTGCAAGCCTGTGTGGCCGCCTGCCAGACGGCTGGTGCCAGTGTGCAGCCCTGGAGGGCGCCTGGCTTGTGTCCCCTTCAGCTGCCTTACGGAGGAAGTCTGTGGCATCACAGATGGACTCCTAGGCTCTACTGCAAGGTGAGCAGGGTTGTGGTCTGAGGGGTCAGAGGTAGAGGCATGACCTCTGGGTCTTGGGAAGGAGGGGACTGGTGACCCAGACTCCTGCAACTAATAGGTCCCTGACCCTCATTCTCCCCCTCAGCCACCTTGGCCCCTGCCCTGAGGCCTGTGGCCCCACTGCTGGTTCCCCATCATTAGTCCTTGGTCCCAGTCCCCAGTGCCTGACAAACTCCTGCTTTTTCCCATGTGTCTCTGCACATCCAGCCACATGTGCCAACCCCTCAGCCCCAGAGCACTGTGGCCACCCCTGTGCCCCTAGCTGCCAGTGCCTGCCTGCTCTTCGCTGCTGGAGGGTTGATGTGTGCTCCGTGCCACTGCTCCTGCTTCCTGCACCAATGCTGCACTTTCTGGACAGACAGCTGTATTCAGAACCGCCACTGCCCAGCCCCTGGGGCCCTGGTGAGCAGTCTACCGGGTGCTGGCCTGAGAAGGGCTGTGGTCGCTGCAAGGCTGCCGCAGGTGGCTGGCATCACTACCTATTAGCCCAGCCCCCACCCAGCACCACCACCCTGGAGGAACCACTGGTCTGCACTGCCACTGGAGACTTCCACTTCCACACATTTGGAGGAGCCCACTGTGAACTCCCTGGCTCCTGCGTCTACCACCTGGCAGGTCTCTGTGGCACAGCCCACACCAACCTTGAGCCCTTCAGCCTCAATTTGACCCCACTTCTGTGGTCATGTGGCTGCCCAAGGACCTGACCCCCTCAGCCTATGGTCTGAGGCTAGATGTGAGTCTGAAAGATCGCAACTACTTCTAGGGGAGGTTCCAAAGTCCCACACTGACCCACCATCCCTCCCACTATTCTCAGATAACCCATAGTGACCCTTCTTTTCCTTTGATGCCTCTTTTACTGACTCTCCCACTGGTCCTCAAATGTGTCCACTCCAATTCCCTAGTGGCCCTATTTATCCCTTACCGGTGGTTACTGACCCTCCTCCTCACTGACTTGCTTGTTGACTCCTTCCCACTGACTCTGACTTGTTCATGCTTAACCACCCTTGAGACTCCTACTACTCTCCCATTAACTCTCCATTGAGTCTTCCATTGACTCCCTGATTGACTCCTCTTTAACCCACCGGCTCAGCCCTGACCTCCCCATTGACCCTCTCTTTCACCCCCCTTTTAATATCCCATTAACCCATTGCCCCTCCCCAACTGATCCTACTACTGTTATATTGACTCACCCATTAACCCTATTTACTGCCCTGTTGACCCCACCCCACACTCCTACCCCACTGATCTGTGCTGAGCTATCTATTGACACTCCCAGTGATCCATGACTGGCCCATTAATGCCCCCACTTACACCCCTGTAGATCTTGCTATTGAGCTTCCTGTTGATACTGACTCCTCCATTGAATTCTCAGCTTTTCTGTTACCCAGTTGAGCCTCTTTGACTCATTATCTCATCCATTGAGCCTTTCATAGTGTCTCATTAATTCATCGACTCACTTTCTAACTCCACCCTCATTAACCCTCCACTTGAGCAGCACCCCTAGTTCCACCCAAAGCCTTCTCTTGATCTTCAGTGACTCATTTCACTTTCTCCATTTGCCCTCTTCTTGATCCTCCCTTTGATTCCTCACTGACTCTTCCCACTGACTCCCTAATCATTCTTTTTTTTTTTACCACCTTCATTGATTGTCCACTGACCTCTCATTAATTCTGACCATCCAGTCACTCTATCATTGATCCCCCATTGGATCCTTTGGTGACCCCCCATTTAGCCTCCATTGACTTCCCACTGAATTCTCTTTTGATCCCTAATGAATGTTCTCCTTGATCTCTCTCTGATCCTTCATTGACAGTTCCAAGAATGTCTTCTGACTGCCAATACTCCCTTTCCTGGCTGTTCTCCCACCCCCCATGCCCTCTCTGTAGCTGGACAGAATTATGGAATCACTGTCCTTCTTTTGTGGCCATTACCTCCAAGCCTACAGCTGGGGCTGTCTGTTCTGCATAGACATACAAAATGTACCTCAATAGATTTTTAATTTGTATGTCTTATTAGGAAGTTGAGCATCTTTTCATATATCTAAGAAACATTTCTATTTCCTTTTTTATTAACTTTCTGAATAGCCTTTGCCCATTTTAAAAATATTGTGTTGTTGATAAAGGAGAAAAAAATATTGTGTTGTCGGTCTTTTTGTTTTTGATTTCTAGGAACTCTTCACGTATTTAGGGAAATTAGTCCTTTGTCTGTGATGTGTGCTACACAGGTGCTTCATTGTTTGTCCATTCATGTTTATGACGGCTTTTTGGACCCAATATTGAGTCTTTGTCTCTGCAGATTGGGGAGGCATTGGTCCGGCCTGGCTGCCAAGAGCGCTGTATGTGCTTACATGGCCAAGGCCTTCAGTGCCAGCCCTTTTCTTGCCCACAAAGCATAGGTTGCATCCTGGGTGGGGATGTACAGTGTTGTTGTTGCTGAAAGTTCCGCCCCTGTCCCTGATGAGCCAAATAACTCAGGGACCGTTAGAAGAAAAGAGGTAGCTCTATTACTTTGCCAGGCAAAAGGCACTCACAGCAGGCTAGTGCCTTTAAAACTGTGAACCCACTTTGGGGATGGGGTAGGTTTTATAGCCATGGCTCAAACAATAAAGCATCAATAACAATCAAAAGAATCATTTTCTCATCAGAAGACTTAGAATGGCATCATGATGCCTCCAGGTGACCAATTCTATAGAGGCTAGCAGTTGTCACTTTTTCGATCTCGTTATCTCGTAAGCACTCAAGGTGTGGTCTTCTTGGTATTTAGCCTACTTTGGAAGGTTACAGTTCTGTGACCTTCTCCCTGGAGATTGACCCAGAGGCCAATCATGATTATAGCTTTTGATTACTAGAATAACGTAAAAATAGTAAGATCAATAGCTTTAGTTTTAACAATGGGCCTGAAACTGTGAGTAGCAACCGGTTAGTCAGGTCAGTTGACCGTTTCAAGGGCAAGCATAAGAATAAGCAATCTGTTAGCCTAAATGTGGCCATTTTATTAATCCTCCTTCACTGTGAGTCTGAGAAGGGTGCCATGTGTTACCTAGCACCTGGGGGCCTCTTCACCACCTTTGATGGCTTCAGTGTGCTCACACCCATGCCTGTTATACCCTGTGCCTGTGAGCTAGCCACATTGGTAGGTTCTAGGCCCCAAGATCCTGACTGGTTCCATGTAATTTCTGACTTCCCAGTTTGTCCTGGCTGCACTGCTCCCCAACCACAAATGATCATCAGCTTCAGGGATGGCTGTGCAGCTGTGGGACCCAACTGGGAAATGCGAGTAAAGGGCTACCTCAATTCCAGCCAAGACCTTTGTGTAGCCTAGTACTGATCTCAGGGGCCTCTTAACCCCTCACTGACTTTCCATAACCTTTTCATGTAGAACTGTCCTCCCATAATCCTCTGATCTCACATTGACCTCCACTGATTAAATGTCCTTGCCCTGATCTCCCATGACCCTCTAGACCCCACATAAACCTCACCCTGGACTTCTCAGGACCCACTGACCCCACCTTGACACAAGACCTGCTGAACTCCTGGAAACTACTGACTGAGTGACCAGAGCTATAATAGGGGCAGCACATGTTGGAGTGATCAGGGCTTGAATAGGCAGGCTGTGGGAACCCAGAGGCAGTACCTCCAGTTTAGGGGATCAGTGAAGGCCTTCTGAAGGAGACAACAAATGAGCTGAGACCTGACATTAAACTGGGGAAGAGAGCAAGGAGGAGAACTGTAAGGCAAGGCCAGAAAAAGGGAGATGCTACACTCGGGGCTGCAGTAAAAATCAACTAATGAGTATAAAATATCCCACTAAATGTCTGTGGAGTTAGGACCAAGGAGGCTGTTGGTGATTTAAGAAATCACATCAGGAGGTCATCTCCTGGACTGCAGGGCTGAGGAATGAGACAAGTACAGACAGCAGGCATAGACCCCTCTCTTGACAAGATGTCTATGCAGAAAGGGGAGAAAAAAGTCAGTTAGGAAGAGGCAGAGGGCAAGCGTATCTTAGAGCTGATTTGTTGTTGTTGTTGTTGTTGTTGTTGTTGAGATGGGAGAAACTTGGGGATGTTTAAGTGCTAATGGGAAGAAGCCAGACTAGGAGAGGTCGGAAAACCAGCAGGGAAAGATGCCAGGGTAGAGACCCCTGGGTCCCCAAGGAACACGGAAGCAGGAGAGCCACAGAAGAACTAGAATCCAGGCCTGCAAAATGGGTAGTATTTATAAGGGGAAACAAACTTGAAATCCCTTGATGAGAAATAGAATCACCTGTGAGTTCAAGGCTACTTGTAGGAATGGGTGGATGGACCAGCAAGAGAACTGCTTGGGTATCTGCCACAACCTAGCAGGTAAGCTAAGCCAGAGCCTTTGGCTAGAGGGTCAAGAGACTCCGACTATGTTTCTTAGAATTCTAGTGTAACTTTGGGTGAGTGACTCAGTCTCTATGTCTGTTTCCTCATCCACTAAAAGTGGTGATAACACTATCCACTGCATAGGGTAGCTGTGAAGATAAAGTAAGAGGCTTGGCATAAGTACTCAATAAGTATAAGCTGTGATAGCTCTAGCAGCCACTTTTATATTATCTTTTGGAGAGACAGTATAGATAGCAGAGTGGCTAAAAACACAGGACATGAAGTCAGACCCCTAGGTTTCGAAAACCTGACTCTGCCACTTACCAGCTATGTAAACCTAGGCAGGCTATGTTACTTTTCTGGCCCTAGTTTCCTAGGAGGCAGAAGGTATATGGTGCTGCAGATCTAGATTGTCAGAGTGTTGGTGAGGATTTAATATCACTTAAAATATTAAATGTTTAATAAACTACTTTAAATAGTCACTATTTTAAAATAAATGTATTACATAAAATATAAATTAGGTGACAATATATTAAAAATCAATTGCATTCTATTATATTGCATATTATGTTGACATACTGTGTTACACATTATAAGATAAATATTTATAAAGCCCTTGGAATAGTGCCTGGAACAGAGTATGTGCTCAGTAAATAGTTATTAGATTATGAAGACACAGGTGAGAGAGATATGACAGATTCTAGAGGCTTTTTTTCTCTCTAAAGCTTCCTTTTAAGAAAGAGTTCATTATAGAAAATTTCAAGCATCACAAAAGAAGAGAGAATAGTGTTATGAAACCCCATTATGGTTACAAATATTTTGCCATTCTTCCTTTAAGGCATCTTTTCCTCCCATTCTTTTTGTTTTGTTTGTGTTGGAGGATTCTGAAGAAAATCTCGGAACTTATTCCTCTAGCAAAGACCTGAATATGCATTTATTATTTTTTAAAAATCTATTTCTTTGGGGGCAAGAGGTAATTAGGTTTATGTTTTGTTTTGTTTTGTTTTAATGGAGGTACTGGAGATTGAACCCAGGACCTCATGAATGCTAGGTACACACTCTACTACTGAGCTATACCCTCCCCCCAGATGAATATGCATTTCTGATAGAGACACGGGCGGGCGGGATTCACAGCGGTTTCTGAGTTCCCCTTTGATTCCCGGACTCCGGCCCTCATCCCAGCCCCTGACCCGCCTCCGCTCTCCACAAAGGAACTGACGCCCCACGCAGCTCGCTGCCCAGTTGTGCGGAGGCGTGGTCGCAAGCTAGGCGAGGTCCCCTACGCTCCAGGTGCTGGTAGGGCCCAAGGGGGCCATGGCCTTGCGGGCCTCCCCAGTGCTACGAGGACGCCTCCGCGTAGCCTCTGGGGACTACAACGAATTGCGACGGATGACCTGATACTCCCTGGAGGACACCGGGGTGCCAGCCTGGTCGACGTGTCCCAAGCATGCTGGACTTGGGGCTTCAACAGCTAGTGAGGCCCCTCCCTCTTCTACCCCCGGGTCCGACTCACATCGGCAGAGGGCGCTACCAGCCCAGCTCCCTGCGCTACAGGCTGCCTTTAGGGGATTGCAGCCCACACCATCTCTCTAAGCTCGTCTTCCTACAGCACTGAGCTTGTAGTGCCGGCTATGGCCCAACACTTCAGCGCCTGACATCGTCCCTCTGTGCGTCCGCAGGGTTGGGACTCTCAACGCACACCCGCCCCGGGGGTGAGGACGCACGGAGATTGCTTTAATAAATAACGTGGCAAAAAACATGCTTGTGCCTGTCCCTCTCCTCTCCCAGGACCCGGGAGTTAAGTCAGGACACCCTGTTTCCTTCCAACCCCAAACCTTAGAGTCTGACCGCCTCAAAACTACTGTCCTCACAAGGACACCTATTCCCTGTTGGGTGGGCCAGTAATTCAGAGGCCCCGCCCCTTACTCGCGACATTGTGATGTAACTACAGCGACAGCCAATGGGATGCGACGGTGCCTCATAGCAAGAGGCGGAAGTGCCTGTTGCCTTGCAACGCCGCTTTTCCCAGCAGTGCTGCCGCACGACTTTGTGACGCGTTGACTGTGTGCTCCCGCGGCCCAGCTGTAACCATGAGTCGCCCCAGCCGGCTGCAGAGACAAGTTCTGAGCCTGTACCGCGAGCTACTGCGCGCCGGGCGCGGGAAGCCGGGCGCCGAGGCGCGGGTGCGGGCCGAATTCCGGCAGCACGCCGGCCTGCCACGCTCCGACGTACTGCGCATTGAGTACCTGTACCGCCGCGGGCGCCGCCAGCTCCAGCTGCTACGCTCCGGCCACGCCAAGGCCATGGGCGCCTTCGTGCGTTTGGGGGACCCGACCGAGGCGACCCGTGACGCGGGAACCCCAGGGACTCCGCCTGACGCTGATGACGGTCCAAGGAGACCGCTTGACAGCATGGGGGCACCGGAGACCCCGTCCGAAGGACGGTGACTGGCAGAAGGGCTCGCCCGATGGCCCAGGGGAACGAGGGGCCCGCCTGACTGCGTGGGGGGACCAGGGAACCCGCCTGATGGAAGGTGAGCGGTCTTAAGAGACTAGATCGACAGACTGGGGATACTGGAGAGCCCTCTTGATGATGAAGGGTCCGATGGCGAGAGATGCCCGACCTTGCCCGTTGTATGGTAACGGGTCAAACTTCCCCATGAAGGCTTGGGGTGGCCTGGGTCGCCGGCTGGCTGGACTCTCAAGCTGAGAGCTACTTACCCTCAGGCCTGGGGAGCCGGGACGCCCGGCTGTTGGACAGAAAGAAACTGACATGCCCCTCTCTTGACTCCTGAGAACATACCTACTCCTGGTTCCTCAAGGAAACTCCCTTCCTCTGTATTTAACTCTGAAAAGAACAGACTTTTTGCTGAGGAGTTTGAAAAGATACCCTGATGGAGGATGAGAAGTCTGGAATCCCCCTTAGAAAAACCTTTGCCCCATTGTGACAAACTTGGACCGGTGAGGAAGGGGCTAGGGTTCTTTCACTTCAGCTAATCAATTAAAGACCTCCCCAAGACCTCTACATGATGGTTCTGAGGGGGAGCTCCAACTCCTGCCCACTTTCCTGCTCAGGAATGTTGGACAAAGGGAATAAAATTGGGGATTTGCTTACTTCCCTTTTGGTGGTCTTAATGTGTTTGGGGGTTTTTGAAGTGTCCCTCCTCCAACATACCAAGAAGTGACCCTCTGGGAGGGGATGGGTGTGGGGAGCTGTCTCTTCCCCCTCTGGAGCCTCTAGATTGGCAGATTGGTTGGATTAGCATAGTTCTCCTGAGCAGACCCATGGAGGGAACCCACCCTGACTTGACCCCAAAGAAGCCCCAGTTGACTCCTTAATGGAGAGTAGTGAAGCAGGAGAGGAAATGGTGGAGCGGAGGAGGCCTGGCTGGTAATCCCTGAGGCAGTGGCGGGGCCCTCAAACCTGACTGAGTCCAGCCTCAGCTATAGGCCGAGATTTTTGTTAGCAACGCCCAGGGGTAGGGGAGGAGAGAGAGAGACCCATGGGCCACAGGCATACCTCCTCCCATGTCCTCACATGGACCTGCTCTAGACATTCTCTGGGGTACTGCATTTTGCAGCCCTCAGCTGTATTTGCACCCATGTCTGTTAAATAAATGGAAAGCAGTTGAATTCTTAGCAAGATGCAGTTGAGAGGAGGAGGAAGGCCTTAGGAAAGGAGCCCAGACCTCGGACCAGAGGGAGGATGGACAGATGAGAAACAATCTCTGCCCCAATCCCAGTGGGGGAGGAGGTACTCGAATAGTTATAAGGTGGAATTGAAATGTGAAGAATTATAAGGTGTTTGCCAGAAGGTAGGGATAGACTTTTAAGCAGGAGGACCAGTGTGGGTAGAGGCCTGGAGAGGACAAAGGGGAGAAATGCAGGGGCCCAGCTGGGACTTGGAGTGCCCCAGAGCACAGGCTGTGAGGTTTGTGCATGTGGCTTCTACTTCAGCTTTGTCTCTGGTTGGTACTCAAACCTCCTCAGCCACGTTCATCTCTCGCAGCCTGTTTTTCAGCAGGGTGATGCAGTTACTCCTGGCCTGGCTCCATTTCAGAGTAAAAACCAGAGTCTTGAAAGTGGGTAATGGGGTTGAGTCCTACCCATCTCGCCCCCGTTATGTCTCCACCTTTAATCTCCCTCTTCCTCACTTCTGTTCCCCCCCCCCATCTTGCTCACTTCTGACTCCAGGATCTTGAGCCCTAATAAACTCCAGGATGGGAGCTTCTGGCAGGGCTGCAAGCCTTGATCGAGTTCCCACTGGGGCCGGGCATCCCGGTCAGGAAGGGAGACATTCACCTGGGTATTACCAGTGAATGGAGTTTGCCTGGTAAAGAGGATGGGGGAGGAGAATGCCCGATTTGAGGGAGGAAATTGTAGGTGAGTGAGCAGTGATGATAGACTCTGGAAATGGAATGCCTGGGTTTAAACCCCAGTTCCAACGCTTACTGATTACATGATCATAGGCAAGTGATTTAACCTCTTTGTGCCTCAACACCCTTATCTGCAAAATGGGCGTGCTAATGGTGCCTCCCTCATGTGGCTGTTATGATGAAATAGTGAAATACATGTGGCAGCAGATGATAATGTCCCAACCCCATAACTCTCCTGCCTATTTGTGTTCACTTGTAGCTGCACAAGAGGGTTCTCTAGAGGCTGCCAGCTTCCTACTCTGAGCCCCTGCAATCCTGCTCTTCTGCTTAAGGGCTTTCTTGAGTTATGTGAAGTGGGTTAATGCCCTCAGGAGCAAACAGAAGCTTGTGAGGGACAGCAGTCATTGAATGAATTGAGTTATTACATTTCCTGATTCCCTTAATTGTACTCTAGTTGTGTAAGGGGATGCCCTTGATCTTAAGAACTATATGCTCAAGTATAGTTACTCTCAAATGGTTCCAAAAATATGTGCACATACATATCAGTGAGACCAAGTGGTGAAGCCCATGAGGTAAAATGTTAACAATTGATGAATGTGGGTAAAGGGTGTATGGGGCTTTGTAGTACTAGTCTTAAAACTTTTCATTAACTTGAAACAAAACTTAAAGTTACAAAAAACAAAATAGACAATGGTCATATCAATGTGTCACTGGTCATTTATCTTTGAGCACCAGAGATCTTCGTACAGAGGGCGCATTTTTTCAAGAGATTTGAGAAAAGGAAAGCCTGTATTTTCTGAGACTTTATTAACTCCTGTACATAACTTCTTGACAGACTTAGCCATCAATTTCAATTAAGTTTCTGAACTTGGAAATAACATCTGCTCTCCCTTACAGATTCTGATCTCCACTCTATTGGGAATGACAGGTCACTAGAATATGTCCTTGTCTTGGGTAACAAGCTCAGTGGTCCCAAAGGGGCCAAGCCAATGACCAGGAGCACGAGGTGGCCCAGTGGGGCCTTGGGGAATTCTGGGACACTCACAGTACCCCATGAGGAGTCACCAGGCACACCCATGAGTTCCCACCTCTCCTGCTCAGCTCCCTCCGACAGCGACATCTGAGGGATGATGATGTGGAGGAATGACTGGAATTGTCTTTACAGTGATAGGAGTGTTGTGATTGGGTTTTAAAACAGAATCGATCTTCTGGAGATGCTCCATGAATTGTTGGTGAAAAAAAGGGTATGATATCTAGAACTGGCTTCAAAGTAATCTAGGAAGAGGGGAGTGGGCACCTGAGAGGTGCCCTGAGTTGCTAATGATCAGAGTCAGTGATGAGTCCACAAGGACTTGTAATGCTGTTCCTTCCCCTTTTGTACAAGTTCAAAAATTCCCAGAATGAAAGTTGAAAAAACAACAACCAAAAACCCTCCCGTGCCCATCTCATGCAGACTAGAAGTCCTCACTGTGGTCCACAGTCCACCTGATCTGGCTCCATTGCCTCTTTCACCTTACCTCTGTCCAGTCGCCCACTCCACCATTCACGCTCCAGCCGCACTGGCCTTCCCATGTGCCAGGCAAAATCCTACCTCAGGGCCTTTGTACTTGCTGTTCCCTTTACCTGGAATGTTCTTCCAGGTCTGCACTGTCCAGTACAGTAGCTGGGAGCTACCTGTGACTTGAGCATTTTAAATGTGATTATTGCAACCAGGGAATTTTTTTTTAATTTTTATAAACTTTAAATAATTTAAACTTAAAATTGAAGCAGTGTAAAATATTTTGTCATTAAACACAGTTGTATTGTCTTGGTAGCACTACATTTCATTTTATCTGTTGCAAATTAAGGTGTCCAAATTGAGATGTGCTAAAAAGTATAAAACACACACCAAATTTCAAAGATGCAGGAAGAAAAAAAGGATTGTAAAAGACCTCTATTTTTATACTGATGACATGTTGAAGTGATATTTTGGATATGTTGGGTTAGAGTATAAATTAAATTATTAAAATCAATTTCACCTGTTTCTACTGTTTTACTGTGACAGGAAATTCAAAATTATATTCGTGGTTCACGTTGTATTTCTATCAGACAGCCCCCCTCTAGGAGTCCCTGTGGCTCGTGTCCTCACTGCAATTTGATATAATGACATAATTGTTGCATAATAATTGTCTCCCTGATTCCTTCCTCATCCATCCTAATTAAATTGCACACACACACCCTGCCTTTGCACGCTTTAGTTTTCTCCTTAGCATCTTTCCCTATCTGATCTGTGACAGATTTTGCCTGTCTGTTTTACTTATTGTTAGCTTTCCCCGACTGGAATGTCAGCAACATGGACCAGGATCTTAGCCTGCCTTGTTCAGGGTCATAGCCCTGCTCTTTGACCAGGACCTGGTTCATAGCAGACATTTAGTCAATACTAAATGAATGAGTGAACGAATGGTACAACTTGCTCCATTGCCTGGTTGGTTGGGTCAGTATTACCAAGACTATCTTATTAGCTGGTGACCCCAGGGAGACCACGTCTCCTCCTTGGTTGGGAACAGAGACCCGGTCTCCCATTTGAAACAGAACAGACCCAGGTTTGCATCTTGACTTCTCCCAGAACCTGGAGTAACTCCCAGCATCTGCTGCTTCCCGCCCCACTCCCTCAGTGTCCATTCCCCATCTGGTAACAGTTCCCTGACTATTTTTGGAGAACCACTCCTCCCCCTGTTTTCATGGTTCAGGCAAGGCTGACTGCAGGCCCAGCAAAGCACGTGGGGCTTTGGTTGGAACTGTAAGGGACAAGTAACTCTCCTATCGGCTGCCAAATTGGTGGGATGTCTGCTTGGGGGATTTGTGGGGCACTCTGGCCACCACTCGGATAAGAATGAAGCCAAAACAAAGGAAAGAACTGAGCCCCTGGATCCAGCTATGCTTGCAGTCCTGACCTTTTCTGTTACTCACAAAAATAAATTCCCACTTCTTTTTAAATCAGTGGGATTAGGCTTCAGTCACTTGCTCCCTGTGTGGCCTCAGACTAGGGGCTTCCCCTCTAGAGCCTCAGTTTCCCATTCCGTTAAGCAGGGACATATCACGGTGGTTATGAGAATTAAAGGTGAAAGTATCTGTCTTAAGGGCATATCCAGGAGCCTAGCACAGGGCTCCTGCCTCTGTTCCTGAGTCTGAGTCTGCCCCACCTCTTGTCCTGATGTCTTAAACTCTGGGGACAGGGTGAGCTTAGATACCTGAGGCTGGGGAATGGACTCCGGGTCTAAGCCCTGGCAATTCAGCTTGGTGTCGTCAAGACCTGGGAGAGGAGAGCTTTCACAGTCCTGCACCAGTGCTGGCCAGCCTGGAAGCCCACCATGTAGAATGTTTAAACAGAGCTCCTGGTTGAATGCAGGTCAGGAGCTATTGGCAACCCATCCACATCACCTGCACCCCTCCTGTACACTTGCACCCTTCCTCTAGCTTCCTGTGGCAAGCCTCTGTGCCTCTTTGCCTAAGGGTCTTTTACAGGCAGGAGAGGCTGGAAGTGCTCACCTGCACCCCTCCTGTACACTTGCACCCTTCCTCTAGCTTCCTGTGGCAAGCCTCTGTGCCTCTTTGCCTAAGGGTCTTTTACAGGCAGGAGAGGCTGGAAGTGCTGGGAGTTAACATCTCCAGAAACAGTCCTTAACCAGTGAGAGATGGGAGCTGGTACACATGCCACAACCTCTTTACCTCTTGGGTAGAACAACTTTGAATGTGTTCTAGTCTCCCAGAGTTCCCCAGGGGGATGGCACCCCAGGTGCCCAGAGCAGCAACTAGCTCATTAACTCCCTTCCCTGGCTCACTTCCCACTTCCCTGTCAATCTGCTTAGGATCACCTCCCCAAAAAAGCTACCTGTGCCTGAGTCTTTGTGCAGGTTCTGGGGGAACCCAACCCAATGTGGGCTGATTCTGTTCTGTGTTCTATGCTCAAGGCAAAGCGATCTATGGAGGGGGCGTCCAGATGTATCAAGACCATTTCCTAGATTCTCAATCCTTGGGCACCCAGGGTCCTCACACATCCTGCTATAGACTGAATGTTTGGGTCCCCTCAAAATTCGTATCTTGAAATCCTAATCCTCTAAGTGATAGTATTGGGAGGTGGGGCCCTTGGGAGGTGATTAGGTCATGAGGGCTCCACCCTCATGAAAGGGATTGGTGCCCTCATAAAAGAGACCCAGACAGCTGCTTGCCCCTTCTTCCATGTGAGGCCACAGCGAGAAGATGGCCATCTATGAACCAGGAGGAGGGTCTTCATCAGACACTGAATCTACCAGCACCTTGATCTTGGACTTTTCAGCTGTGGGAAATCAATTTCTATTGTTCATAAGCCACCCAGTCTACATCATTTTATTACAGCAGCTGGAACAGACAGACACATCCTTTGATGGCAACTGTTTATTACGTATATCTGGACTGTACTCAGATTGGGGGGGGACCATTGACATAGCTGAGCACCAGGTAAGGTGTCCTGGCCAGTCGGGCAGGAGAGCAGCAGGAGCCCCCTGATGTGGGGAGGAGCAACATGGCACCCACCAGGAGAAGGAAGAGGAAGAGAAGGAGGAAGGTCAGGGGCCGCCTGGATGTAGAACTGGGGGCTCTGTGAAGGGAAATGTAGTGTTAAATGTGTGGCTGGGCTGCCACCATGAGCCCTGTCCCCCACACCCCCCATACCCATCTTCCAGGCATCTCACCCAGGGTCTACCTCTAGCATCACATCCTGGAGATTGGGAGATACTTGTCTCATCTTGTCCTAAGGGTAGATAGCAGCCAGCATTAAAATGGGTGGAAGTGGCACTTAATGTGGTCTTTCCCTTACTGCTGTAGACCTACAGAGCTGAGCTTATTTCTCCTCCTTTCCTAGCAACCCCTCCATCCCCAGGACCCCACACAGGCTTGGAATACCTCCAAGTGTAGTGGATGTCTGTTTGTGCCTGCCCTTCATCCAATCCCCCTTTTCCTGGTAACAGTGGTTCAACTGGTAGGGGTGGGTGTCATACCTCTCCACTCTCCTGACCTCAGGACTCCACTTCCATGATTAGGCATGTGACCTAGACCTGGCCAATCGCAGCCCTCCATCAGCTTGGCTACTGTGATTGGTTTTGGATCTAGGCCATGACTCAAGTTGGGGAAGCTGGAGTCAGCCCTAGGACTTTAACTGCAGGTAGGTACAGTGACACTCTCTCCTCCTGGGGTGGGGAAGCCAGTGCGAAGTGAGTACGTTGCTGCTGGGGCAGCCATTTTGCTGAGAAGGAATCCACCTTGGAGAAGCAGAGTCCAGCCCTGACAGCAGCTGTGGTCTGGAATTCAACAGCACCTGGACTTTTCAGTCACATGAAAAAAATAGCATCCCCTTTTTTATGTAACTCAACTTGGGTTGGGTTGCTGTCACTTGCCATCGAGATTCCTGAGTGATACACCTGGTTGAGGACCAGCTCACCTGGGACTTCCGGAGCAGGGAGCGTCTTCGATGACCTGCTAAGTGTTTCCGATGGTTGAGGCCTGACATGAGCATGTCCTTTTAGAGGAGAGAGTGGTGAGGTCCTTGGAGAACCAGTGACAAAGACACACAAGGTTGGGAAAGGACCTAGATGGGGGGTGGGTGTTGTAGAGATGAGACTCTGGGGAAAGAGATCGCGGGGAGAGATGAAGAGAGGGACAGAGCCAAAGAAAGCAAGAGAAGGGAGACATTATTTATTCATTCATTCAACAAATATTTAATGAGTGTCTGTTACATGCCAGGTACAGTTCTAGGAGCTGGGGACACAGTGGATGTAGAAACAGACAAAGTCCTGGCATCCATGAAGTTTACATTCTAGCAGGAGAGAGGGAGAGACCATAAGTTAATAAACAAATGTATAAAGTCAAGATGTGGTAAGTGCAGTTAGGAAATAAAGTCAGAGGATAAGGAGCAATAATATTTGGAGGCCAGAACAGGCCTCCCTGAAGAGGTAACATTTGAGGAGAGACGAATGAATGAGGAGGTAAGCTGGGCATGCACTGGGGGGCTTTGAGATGGGAGTGATTTTGGAATAGCGTGGCCCCTTAGGGTGAGTGAGGGAGATAGAGGAAATGAGGAAATGTAGACACAACAGAAGGAAACAGAGTGAGATGGAGGAAGACATGGAGGCCAAGAGAGACAAAGGGAGGGAGGGAAGGGAACACTGAGATAGCAAAAGAGAAATAGACCCCGAGAGGGATAGAGGGAGACACAGAGCCATGAAAACCTTGAAGGGGAAGGACCCTGCTAGGAGGCACACAGGAGGGGTCCATGGGTGCCTGGGGGGAGGTGACCCCACCTGCTCTTACCTCGAGGCTTTGTCCCCTGCCCCAGGGGCCCCTGTGGCCACATAGCTCACAGGGAGCCCCTGGTGTCCAGGCTGTCCTTCGCCCCAAAGGCCCGAGGCCCCCAACGTCCCCCGCCGGGTCCCACTCCAACTCTGCAGGAGTGGGGAGGCTACCGGATGCCCAGGGCCCCCAGATCCTACCATGTCCTGGCCCGTCTGAGTCCCCCTCAACCTCCAAGTCCTGCTCCAGTGTGTTGATATCCTCAAACACCTGGTCAGAGGACAGAGGTCATGAGGGTTGGGACTCGTGCCTGCACCAGGGACCTCCAGGGTGGTCCATACCAGGCTGAAGCTGACCATCTGGGCCTGCAGCCGCCACAGCTGCCGGAAGATGCTGTCTCGATGGGCTCTGAAGGCCCTCAGGACCTGTTCCAGGGGTGCCCGGGCTTGGGGCTCACTCCGCTGTGCCAGCCCCTCACCGAATGCCAGCAGTGCATCTAAACGCTCAGCTGCCCCACGGAGATCTGCCTGGAGGGCCTGGGTACACAGAGTTGGACGTCACTCCCCTCCCCAATCCACACACACACACACACACCAGGGGCACCAGAGACCTGGGACCTGGATTTACACACACACACACACACACACCCCAGGGGCACCAGAAACCTGGGACCTGGATTCACAAACACACACACACACACACACACACAACCAGGGGCACCAGAGACCTGGGACCTGGATTTACAACCCCTCCTCCCTTTCCCAACCTAGAACATGGAATAAACACATTTCCTACCCTAGGGAGCTGGCACCCACTCCTGAGGCCCTGCCCACCCTCCCGCATCCTAGCTTCCCATTACCCACCTGCAGCTGGACCATCCCGCTCTGGGCTGATGCCCAGGGCCCCAGGCCTCGCTCCAGGTCCTGCAGCTGGAGGCCCAGCCCCAGAAGGCTAAGATGCAGGCTGTCCTGCTCAGCCTCCAGTACCTCCTGGCCAGAGATGGAGTGCTGGGGAACCCAGAGAGCTGAGTCAGGGCTGGCGAGTCAACTAAGATGTGCCCCCACTCCCATTGCACCCTTCTTCTGCAGGCTCCTGCCTTCTGGATGCTTCTCTGCAGCAGAGTCTATCACTGGGTCTGCACCAGGGCTGCTCCCATCTAGAGAAACCTCCCAGTGGAGCCAGGCCTGAGAACCTCTAGTTCAAATTCTCCAGGTTCCAAAGTTTCTGGAAATGTGTATATGGAGGGCCTATGGGTCTGGACAGGGAAGGGGTGATGGAGCTGGATAACCCTGCCAAGGAATGGGCCAATGATAAAAATAATTCTCAGCTGGTAAATACTGAAATATTTCTATAGTGATTGGTAAAGAATCATTGTCCAGAGCATCCCTCCCCCAACAGATGCCCAACATTCTTCCAGAATCATCACCTCATCCCTGGTGTGGAGGCCAAATTCTGGGAGAGCAACAGGAGGTAGGAGCTGGCACAGGGAGGGGCCCAGGTCACCTCAGCTCACCTCACAGTGTTTGGCCCCAGTTGGGTCCTCCTGGGAAGAGGACGTTGGAGATGTGGGGAGGCCAGTGGCAGGCTTGGTGCCCCTCGGTCCACTCTGGAAGTGCTCAGGAGGGTCCAAGGAGACCTGCCCCTGCTTCTGAGCCTGTTCCAACCTGGTAGGGGACATTGACAGGTCCCTGGGTAAGCCTAGGTGCCCATTATCTACCCTATCCCAGCTACCTCTCCCGTGTCCCCAGGTGATCATACTCACAGTATCTCCTACCCTCAAAAGGGGTACTACCCCCACCCTTTTGGGACCCAAGTTTCAAAAACACCAGCTCCTACCTGATTCTGTCGTCTCCAGATGCAGGGTAGATGGTGCATTCAGCAGTATCCAGCTCCCTAGGCGCTCCAGGGGCGTGGCTGAAGGGCTCAGAAGAGGGCCTAGGGCTCAGAGGTGGGGGCAGGGCCATATTCGGGAGCCTGGGAACAGAGATTCAGTGAGGATCCCCAGTAGGAGCCCTTTTCCCAGCCAGGGGTACCCACCCCCAGACCTCCTCAGTAGGACTCACCCAGGCCTGAGGTAGCCAGGAGCCCAGGGCCAGGCTCTTCCCAGGTGGAAACTGGACCCAGGTAATCTGATGCCCAGCTCAGGTGACAGCAGTACCACTTAACTCATTCCTCCCCAGCAGACCAGTAGCTGAACCTCCCAAGCTCGCACCACCCACATAAGGGGTCTCCAGATATAACCCTCCCCCCTCAAAAGCCCTGGATTCTGCTCCACTCTGTGACCCATACATCTGACCCCCATGGCCCACACCCTCCCTCTAAGGTGCCAGGCGCAGCGCCCCTCAGGAACCCAAGCATCTGACCCCTCCCTTCTGCCATGTCCAAAACCAAAATAAGGTATTTTTTGTTGTTGGTTTATTTGGAATGGGGCCTTTTCCTATGGTTCCCACACAGTTACTGGGAAAATAACCCCGGGAGAGGTAAGAGGAGTTGCCTCTGCCCCAGGGTTTCAAGGTCACAGGGTGGCAGCTGTCCAGAGCAGGCGAAAGCCCGGGAATCCCGGCGGATCCTGGGACCTGGCGTCACTTGCTGAGCAGGAGGCCAGCGCGCAGCACGCGGGGCACGCGGCGGATGGTCAGCGA